CTTCCAGGTCTGATTGCTTGCTTGCAAAGCCCATCCATTCAGGTTATTGCTTTCTAGAGAAACAAGAAAAAAGAAGCAGGAACTGTTTGTTTGTCTCCACCGCCATCCCTGATGGAAGGCTTATCTACATATACAATAGTGTTTTCTGTTGTGAACTTTAGGGTTCTAGGAACATCTTGAGGCTTTGAATCTGTCATTTTACACTATGTTGTCTGCATTAAAACACTATCTTTTTCTTGAACAGTTAATTTATTACCCAGTAAAATTCAAATAATTTCTTTTACTGTACATTACCGCTCAGCTGTTGCCATCCTAACAATTTATATTGCTAGGTTTTGGCTTTCTGTAGTTGTCAGTGTTTTTTCTGTTATAAGTAAAAATTTGCTGACTCAATGGACTCCTCCATTTTCATATCTTTAATATATTAAAGAATTAATGATTAACATTTTGTCATGTTTGGCCATTTAGTCCCGCTACTTCAATCTTGGTCAATCATGCTTGTCACGAGTAAGAAAGGACATAATTACATCATCTTCTTTAGAAACTATTGAAAAAAGCTGTATTGATTTTTTTCTTTAGTACAGCTGTTTAACAGTAATTTGAATTTGTGCCATAAAATACAAATAATTGCAACCACAGAAATAACATCGTCCTTTATACTTTGTCAAGTATAGCTGTAATATGCATCAGTGACTTCTGTATACAATATTCAGAATTCTGGTTTTATCTGTTGGATTTTTTTTTTTTTCCTTATAGTATATTCCCAACTCTAGGATCTTTTCTTCATGAAAAGACATCATGTTAACAATAGCCAAAACTGGCATTTGCTTTATGGGATTGTTTTTGTTTGGTTTGGGGTATTTGGGGGGGGGGGGGGGGGGGGGGGGGGGGGGAGGGGAGGAGGTGGAGGAGAATGTCCTTCTCGCAACAGAGGGGTAAAAATATTCCAGTTCCTCTCCCTTTGGAATAATAAGTAGTGAACATACAGGGATTTAGTAGTGCATTTTAAAGATGATAACGGAACTATTTTTTCCTTTTGTGCACACGTATGAATGTTTTCCTAGCTTTTTCCAAGTTGACAAATACACTAAGCTTTTTTCTTTTTCACTATGTTGTATTTAAATGTGTCCTAAGAATTGGTGTTTGAATTTGTGAAACCAGAATGCCCCCAGTAATGAACTATGATGTCATAAGAGGGGTTTGCAACTGTCATGTCAGAAGTGTTGACAATAGTGTATTATTTCACTTTGCTTTTAATCAAGCAGGTGGCAAACAACATGAGTATTGTTATTTTTTCATATCATATAAACCAGCTTCTTTTCCTGCAGCCATTCCTGTAGTTGTTTCCGGCTTCTGCTCTGGTTGCCACACTGTGAAGCAGCTGCGGGTGATTATTTTGCCAAGTTCCTAAATTCTTCAGGTTTCCCTTTTATCTTCATGCAGCCTTGAACAAAGGGAAGGAAGTGTACAACGTTGTGTAGCAATCTTCCTTTTCATTTCAGGGTCTTTCTCTTCCTTGTTAATTTGTCAATACTAGCAATTCTCAAGGCTGGCTCCATTGAGTGCACTTACAAATCCATACAATGTGGAGAAATAACAATACTTAAAAACCTGAGGGGTTTTTAACTTCCTTAGACTTCTTAGTGTCTCAGGATGATTTTAATTGGTTACACAAGTAGTGCCATAGATGGCCTTTGCAGTTACAGATCCACTGAAATGAGATCTTTTGATTATTCCTTCAAAGAAACCATATACAGATATGTGTAGTTGTGACCTCCCTCTTCAAAATGCTTTGCATCCGTTCATTCAGCTAAGAGACAAATTCTTGCCTATGCAGAAAAATACTTCTTCCTTTCTAAAGATGTTTCTGCAGGGGTTTGATGGGCAAGAAAGTTTCTTGACCAAGTTAGATAAGTCGGTTTGTCCAGATGAATCTGCTCTGGCTACTAGGAAGAACGAGAACCACGTACTGACCAGACCGCTTATTCTCCAGATACTCGGAGGTTGACTTGGGTGTTCCCGCCGAGAAAGTAAAGCTTGCTCTTAGTTTCTGTTTCATTTTGTTAGAATGTGCTAGAAGAATTTTAAAAATTCATATGAAACAACCTTTACAATTTAAGTTTGCATAAATACAAGTGTTTTCCTGATAATGTTGCAAATAAGGTAGAGGTCAACTGAGAGGGTGTACTTAATGGTGTAGTTGAATTGCTCTTACAGTAACAGTTAACTGTAAGTTAACTTACAGTTAACTGTTGCTTAAAGGGGAAGTTCTGTTTTGCAGCTCTGGTGTCCTACGCCTTGCCTTGCGCTGGTGTTAGTAAGATGGCTTAGCAGTATCTTTAAAGTGTATTCTAAGGCAAAGGGACAGTCTGCCTTGTTGCGAATTGATCTGAGTTGTGTGAAAGGCTTGGGCGCAGCTTTTTGTATCCCTACTGTATATAGTGCTTCAGGTACTTGTGATGCATCTTTTAATGAGGATTTACTTAAAAAGGGGCTGAGGAAATGTTAAGGGTCACCGGATGCTTAGCTGTTTATGTGCGTGTGATTTATAATTTCCTGGAATATCCTGTGCAGAAAAATCCTGTTATATTTGTTCATAAAGTCAAGTTCCCTTTAAATACCTGTAGCCATCTAATTAAGGAAATAAACTACCCTAACTTCCTCTCCAACAGTTTTTGTAAGCTACCTGTTGTGGTAGCAGTTTCTATATGCTCTGAACAATGACTGAATTGTAGAAGACAAAATATTAATTTAAGAAAATGTCATAGTGTGAATATTCTCTTCAGTAGCTGCAGCAGGTATTGCATATCATCAGAAAATGGAAGGCCTATCTGCAGATCAGTCTGTTACAGTAACATTAAGGGCACCAGCAAGAATTGTGTAACAATTTGTACAAATCCAGAGACGAGAGTAAAAAGTGGGGAGAGGAAGCAAGGTGCAAAAAACCAAGATAGATGAGCCTGAATGTTGAGAATCAGTGCACACACACGTAGTAATTTTAAGAAACTCACTTTGAACTTGTGTGCTTTGCTTCTGATTCCAGGGATCGTATTCTTTAGATTGAGAGCTGGTTGACTCCAAGAGGATAGTGGTGGGGATAAAATTAAAGGAGTAGTAGCTTTGATTAACTGTCAGCAGAATTCCGGTCCTTCTAGTGCAGTTTGCTAAGGCAAAACTCACAGCATGAATGAACAATTCTGCAGCAGTTCTTTGATGTAGAGACAAATACAGTTCTCAATTTAATGTCTTCAGAATGTGGCCAAATAGCTACAGTTTGAAATACGTAATTTAAATGGTTTTATTAAATCATTTTAATACCACACATACACCTAATAGGCCCGTTTTGCAGCAGCATAGCTTTGTTTTTACCCATCGGAACTTTATTTCTGAAAAAAGCCATAAAATAAGACTGTTCTGAACTTGGAAGTAGGTGAAAGCGTATGTAATACATCTCAAGCTTGGGATACAAACTGAGACTCACTCATCTGGTCACATACATGGCTTTGTGTCCATTGAGTACAGCAAGGCCTATGCTATTATGTCTTACCATTTAAGAAAATAATTTTAAAACTAGTATAGCAAAGTAAAAATGACAAATTAAAATACAGATCAGGTCAGTAATCTGGATTCTGCACAGGTGTGTTTTAACTGTTTCTTAACACTTCCTCATTTTATTGTAGGCATTTCTCATTTCGATGGTTAATACAAGTGCAACAAAGTAAATCACAAATATGGGCAAGACTACTAATTTAGTATTCGGATTTAAGTATTACAGGACAGATTGATCTTTTTTCCCCTTTTTAATTTTCCAGTTTTAATAAAATGACTTAACGAAGCTTGTCATTTCAGATTAAGTATTGAGGTCTTTGATTACTGTAATGTATAAAAATCAAGCAGTTCATAATTGCAACCAGATCTGAAACGCAGTCAAACCCTGAGTTGGTGAAAGTCATGGATTAACCAGCTGGAATTACAATGCGTTGGAAGTCTGTCAAGCTTTTGAGAACCATCTCAAAAGTCTGCTGCTGGTGCAGAGGACCTTCCATCCCGTTTAAATTTATTCAGCTACTTCATTTTAATGGCTATTATGTTCAAAATCAAGAAACTGGAAGTTCAGAAAGTTGGGAAACGGATTCATTCATTCCCAAAGTGTAAATAGGGTCATGAAGTAAGAATGTAACAGGTTAAAGATCATGACCATTATGGTGAACAGAAGGTATCAATTCAGTTTATTAAAAATATGTGTTTGCAGCACAGAACATAGTTTGATCGCGTGTGCTGCTTAAAAACTTCTAGGGCAATTTTTCTCAAAGTAAAAGTCTTTTCTAACTGGATTAATGTTTCTAACTTTAGCTTTACTTAGTCTACAGTAACTGTGTAGTAAGTAGAAGGTAGTAAACTGCATTTTTTGATGTGCTAGAGGTATGTGAAAAGAGTCACATCTCAGGAAATATATGCTAAGTTATATAAATTGCCTAAGCAAGCATGTTGAGGTAGCATATTCTTCAGTTTAGCAAAAACTAGTGAAACAACTGGTAGAATGAAATGTGAATCCTTTAGAAAAAACAAAGAATGAGAATAAAATCTGAGAGGTTTCTTTCTTGCAGGTTGGAAAGAATAAATAAAATCAATTTTTTTGTATTTCATGGATTTTTTTTTTTTAAGTTAAAAATTGTCATGTGTGTTAGAGGGTTTTTTTTGTGTTTGGGAAATCGAATGTTTCTGGAGTCCACAAACAAACCAGAGAAAACTTTTATTGTTCATTTGCTATCAATTTGTGTTAGAATCTGTGAACTTCCAAATCTGTTCTGTCTTAAATACTACATTTCTTGTTTGAAAAGTAATGCTAACTGCAAGTTATTGAGAGTGTTTGTAGACTTACTGCCTTGCAGAGTAACAAGAAACTTCGTTATTTCGCAGAAAGTGTACAGAAAATGTATTATTTGTTTTAGTTAAATATAGAATTTTGAAAACCTTGTATTTCTTTTTCCCAGGCTGTTCGCTGCTATGAATCGCTAATTTTGAAAGCTGAAGGAAAGGTCGAGTCTGATTTCTTTTGTCAGTTAGGTCACTTCAACCTCTTATTGGAAGATTATCCAAAAGGTAAGGTTTTTGAATACTTCTGATAAATGTTTAGTGGGGGATTGTCATTTGGTGGAGGTGACACAACAGAACGAAAAGTATTTGGATAACTCACTGTTTTCTCAGTTTGTACTATATTTCAAAGCCCATAACAGAATAAGACTGATGATGTCTTTACAAAAACAGTTTTCTAACTTCTCTTTTTTTTTTTTTTTTTTTTTTAATTGGAAAAAACCAAACCAAAACACTACTGGTTCAGGTATGAATATGAAGTTTGTTTAGTTTATACAGTAGCACCACACTGCATACTTCATTTTTTTCTGGTTCATTATTACATGACCGCACAAACAGTTGAATGCACGCCTCTGAAGGTTTCCTGTGGGGGGTGGGAGACACAGGTACATAGGACGGGAGCCTTAGTGCTTTCACATATGTCCACAATCTCAACAGGTAAGGCTAGGCTGAAAGTGTTAATTCACAAACAAAAATCTTCAGTTAAAGTGTGTTTCACATTCTGTTCTAAATACTAAGTGGAAGAATTGGATGTAGGGATTTTGGGGGGTAGGGAGGTGTGTGTGGGGGGTTTAGGTCTCTGCTTCATCAGTCTTTGAATTACTTAAATGTTTTGTGCCATCATTGTAGCCAGTGAACATGGAACCTTACCTACCCTTGTGCTTTGTTGCTTGTGGGTCAAAAGTGCTTTTTTGGTAGTGGTGTGGATTCTCAAAGATACTCTGCTGTGTTGCTGACCGAGACATAGGGCTACATCTTCAGCTTGCCCTGTTTCCACTTCGTGTCACATTGGGTGTCAGGCCCAGTGTCTGATAGCTGCCTCCCTTCCAGTGATCGTGGGAGGTATGGATGAGTGGAAAGCCTTTTTGGATCTTACTCCACCTGGCTAATTAGAACAGGTCAGAGTATTTAATTTTTTGGGATGTCTTTTTTCATTGTTGTTGCTTTTTAGTTTTAATATGAATGCAGTTCTGTTTGACTTTGTGTAAGGAAACAAGGAACACCCCCACCCCGAAAATGTCTACTCCCACCCCTTTTTCCGAACACACAGAAATACTGGTTTACAATTACCTTGGGACATAGAAATAGGGAAATGAATTATAACTGATAGTAGTTCAAAAGCACTGCTTAGTGATTCAGGCTAGCTGTGGACCATTTCATAACAGTGTGTCTGTGTGTCCACTTGTTCGCTATGTCTAGCATAAACCAGTGTGAGTTAGGGTTCCTGGAAGGAACGCTACCTCGCCTTCATTTTTTAGGTGACACATGTTTAGATTTGATATTACTAGGGAGGAATTTGGAGTTACCTAAATTCAGTATGTAAATTCAGAAGGCTTTGAGTGATTGAAGCATCTGTCTCATTTGTTGAATATATGGGGAGCTTAGGGACCTTAGTACCCACAACTTGTACCAACATCTTAGGAACCCACAACATGTACCTACATCCCATCCAACTGGTGTAATATAACCACTGGTGTTTCCAGTTCCAGAGACATGGGAAAACCTGACGGGAACATCGCAATATGCTGGCTATAGAATTTCCTGAAGAATGGTCTGATCCCATGTATTCCATTCTATTTTATTCCATTCTATTTTATTCCATTCTATTTTATTCCATTCTATTTTATTCCATTCTATTTTATTCCATTCTATTTTATTCCATTCTATTTTATTCCATTCTATTTTATTCCATTCTATTTTATTCCATTCTATTTTATTCCATTCTATTTTATTCCATTCTATTTTATTCCATTCTATTTTATTCCATTTTTTAAAGAAAATTCAACCACTCTGTCTGCAAACAACTTACACTGTTGTTTCTGATTAGCCTAATACAACTTGGTATGATGTGAGTGCAGTATGGCTTATTGGATATATTTTACTTAGCAAAGACAGTGCATGATTGTGGGCTGAACTGTATTAACTCTGCTGTTGAGTTGATAACAGTTAAGAGTGACAGGGCTAGACATTGCTGTGGATCAGAGGCGAGGTTTACTGATGGGGAGTCTGCTTTGTACTGTGTATATAGTTTTAAGAACAAGCATAAAAAAATTCAGATGATGGTTGAAAATACCAGTTCTCCAGAACTGTAAACATGCATGAGCAGAACTGTGTGGGAAGAAACGTTTAGGCCTTAAAAACCTGAATTAAAATACTCTAGTATTTTCTTAGATGCCTGTTTAAAGTCACATCTCAATCATGAAAGAAGTCTCAAGAAGTGAAAAAACTTCATTAGTAATGAAGTATAAAAAAATAAGGTGTAGCTGTATTTACAAAGAAATGGGGTAGTAGTGAAAATAATACTGCAGGAATTTTAATTGTTAGGAAAAGGGAAGTTAAAGGGGTTTTTTATTAAGTGAGGGACACGTGTTCTTGTTCGCAACAGTTGTTGAACTCCAGTACCAAAGACTGTAAAAGTATTATGCACAATGCAAAAAGGCATGTGTTCTATAATTAATTTACTACTGTTACTTGAATGAAGTAGAATGCTGGTGTGTTGCATTATAAATTTAAAGTTAAAATAAATTTTATTCCATTCTATAAATTCTGTTACTTTTAATTATCAGACATTCTAATTACAATTGTAGTTAAATTTTAAATGCTTGGTATATGAAAAGTAAAGGGAGTTTAGAAATGTTTGATCTCACTAATGTATGTTTTCTCCAATTTTTAAGTCCTCAAGTTCCAGACCTGTAAAATGCTGAAGCAGGATGATCTTCAGAACTATACATCTGTCTAGTCTGAAGTTAATCTTGGACAAAGTTCTGGAGAAGTTGATGTGTTTAATACATTGGATGTAATTAATAAAATATCACAAGATACCAGCATGACTAATGCTGCACAACTTTTTTTTTTTCCCCTTGGAAGCCTATTATTTATTTAATTAAATATCTTTAATAAATATGTACACTTTTGTAATGTAGAAAGGTGTGTCTTTAATAAAAGCAAATGTGAGAGTGTTCTTTGTTTGAAAACGCTTGCAATATAGTTTGTGCGAAGCAGACAGAATTGCTAGGTGACTGCAGAAGTACAGTCGGTGACTGAGATGAAGAAATGCTTGGTTGATAGAGATCTTTTAGGTTTCATGTGTGTAGTTTCTTCCGTTTTGATCTGTCTCATTTTTTCACAAATATGTTAACGAACTTGGGTCATTCAGTTGGGTGTATTCGTTGTATGTGAGTGTTTTCATGTAGCTATTACCTTCTTATAAATGCAGTAAAAAAGATTGTCAGTCATTTTTTTATAAGACTTAGGAGTCATACTCCAGAAAAGAGGGACCTTGAGGAAGATTCATGGCAGGTTACTGCATGTCATTATTGGAACTAACCAGGCAAATACTGCCCTTACTGCATGTATGGAGGGAGTATCAGTTAGGCAGGCTACCTTGGAACGTGGAGTAAGTTGATGGCTGATGTCTTGCTAAAGTCTAAATACATCTAGCATATATGTTTATATTTTTAAATGAAGCCTGTTAAATGTTGCAGTAATTTCTCTTGAAGTGCATTATGTTTTCTGTTGCTTGTAGCCACTGAAGTCCAGATTTAATATGCTTTTTTTCATAAAAAAGAAGTACTTGTCTCCAACAAAAGTTGTGAGTTTACATCAGAAATTACTGGATGAGGTTCTTTCTTCTCTGTATTATATCTGAGTTAGACTAGAGTATCAAAATGTTTTTTCCTAGCCTTTAAAATATCCAAAGCTGGTCTGCAGCTTGTAGTTTTCCCAAAATGCAGTATGTTTGAATTGCTGTTGTTAGCTGAAGGGTTTTCTCTGCAGCCATGAAATTGACTTGGCCTGTTAATTGCACTCTGCTACTGTTAGGAGAAGGTCCTAGGCAAGGTATCAACCTTTTTGCAGATTTTGAATATGATGAGCCACTGACTTGTATTCAGACAATTATAACCAAGGCAGATTGATTTAGCTTAGCAAGTATGTTCAAGATGGTTTCTGTGCCCAGCTTTCGTCCTCTTGATCATTACTGGTCAGAATTTGGCTTCAGGATTTCCCAAAATGAAAATGTTCGCTCATCCCGGTCAAAACTATTCTGTTTCCTCAGTAGCATTTTCTTAACTGTAATCTGATGTCTTCCTCCCTTTTTTTTTTAAAATGAGGCAGCTATTCCCCGCTGTTCGATTGTTTCAGAGGTTTCCAAACCCGTTGTTCCCTGGGCGTGTCTTTAGTGGCACCCCCATCTCCTTGTTGCTGCTCTCTGCTTTGTGCTGGCACAGCTGAACATGCAGCTGTGTGAGGAACTGATCCAACTGAAAAATAACCTAGCAGAAAAAAGTGACGCAATTGCCCCAGAATGTCAAACCTCAGCCTCGGGTTTTGCCAGAGGAGGTTGATGAGTTGTCATGTAGGCTTTTGGACGCTGGCAGCATTGTGAATCCAGCTAGGACTCCATGGTATATACCTGTGAACTTTGCTGCTGCATTCCTTGGGAGGGCTGGGATTTTACCAAAATTATTGTGCTGCTAGTCTTGGAGGAAGCTGATGCTACATCAGTAGTTGGAGATTTTTTTTTTTTTTTTTCCCCATGACTCTGGTTTCCATAAGGAGTACAGAGTGTAGACAGTGATCTTTAAGGTTTGGGTTCTAGCTGAATGCTGTTTAATGAGCTCATGGACTCTGACATTATCTGTGTTTTCCGTAGGGATCTTTATATCTATTTTGTAGAAAGTCATATGTATTGGCTGTGTTCCAGCCTGTGACTTGGAGGACAGCTAGCAGTTGCGCAAGTGGAGACATACTTTTATCGTTTGCGTCCTTGAATTGCTGTTCTCTAAGCAAAATTCCTGGAAGTAGAAAATGCAATTAATGAATGATTTGGGAAAAACATGCAATTATTCACATCACAGTTACTAAAACACAATAAATACTACACTAAAATAATTCTTATTGCTGTACTCAAGTGGTGATCACGGTTTTTATGTACTATGTCAGAACAGTTTTAGTAATTCTTAGTTTGTAGATAGTGCTTTTGACAATGCAGTCACTAACATAAAAAT